TTGAAGAAGTATTGGACAGAAAATTAACAACGAAAAACCGCACCGGGTGCAATTTTGTCATTTGTCGCGACGTTGTCGGAATGGGCTTAAATTTGGCTAGTTGATTGGAAATGGCCCAAGAAAATTGATATAGGTCAACAAGATTTGAAGAAGTGTTGGACAGAATGTTAACAAAGAAAAACCGCACCGAGGGCAATTTTGTTATTTGTCGCGACGGTGTCGGAATGGGCTGAAATTTGGCAGGTTGATTGGAAACGGCCCGTGAAAATAGATATAAGACAACTAGCTTTAGAGTTTGAAAAAGTGTTGGACAGAAAATTAACAAAGAAAAATCGTACTAGGGGCTATTTTGGAGTTTGTCGTAACGGTGCAGGACAGGGCTGAAATTTGACAGGTTGATAGGAAACGGCCCGAGAAAACTGATGTTGGACAACCAGCTTTGGATTTTGAAGAAGTGTTGGACAGAAAATTAACAAAGAAAAACCGCATCAGGGGAAATTTTGTCATTTGTCGCGACGGTATCGGAATGGGCTGAAATTTGGCCGGTTCATTGGAAACGGCTCGAGAAAACTGATGTAGGACAACCAGCTTTGGTGTTTGAACGAGTGTTGGACAGAAAATTAACAAAGAAAAATTGCACCAAGGCAATTTCATCGTTTGTCGTTACGGTGTCGGAATGGGCTGAAATTTGGCACGTTGATTGGAAACGGCCCAAGAAAACTGATATAGGAAAACTAGCTTTGGAGTTTGAGGAAGTGTTGGATAGAAAATTAACAAAGAAAAATCGCACCAGGGGCTATTTTGTCATTTGTCGTTACGGTGCCGGAATGGGCTCAAATTTGGAAGGTTGATTGGAAACGGCCTGAGAAAACTGATATAGGATAACTAGGTTTGAAGAAGTGTTGGACGGAAAATTTACAAAGAAAAACTGCACCTGGGGCAATTTCGTCATTTGACGCGACAGCATCGAAATGAGCTAAAATTTAGCAGGTTGATTGGAAACGGCCCAAGAAAAATGATATTGTACAACTAGCTTTGGAGTTTGAAGAAGTATTGGACAGAGAATTAACAAAGAAAAATCGCACCAGGGGCAATTTTGTCATTGTCATTTATCGTGACGGTGTCGGAATGGACTGAATTTTGGCACGTTGATCAGAAACGGCCCAAGAAAATCGATATAGGACAACTAGCTTTGAAGTTTGATGAAGTGTTGGACAGAAAATTAACAAAGAAAAATCGCACCAGGGGCAATTTTGTCGTTTATCGCGACGGAGTTGGAATGGGATGAAATTTGGCAGGTTGATTGGAAACTGCTCGAGAAAATTGATATTGGACAACTAGCTTTGGAGTCTGAAGAAGTGTTGGGCAGAAAATTAATAAAAAAACCGCACCATGGCCAATTTTGTCATTTGTCGCGACGATGTCGGAATGGGCTGAAATTTGGTAAGTTGATTGGAAACGACCCAAGAAAACTGATATAGGACAACTAGCTTTGGAGTTTGAAGAAGTGTTGAATAGAAAATTAACAAAGAAAAACCGTACCAAGGGCAATTTTGTTATTTGTCGCGACGGTGTCGTAATGGGCTGAAATTTGGCAGGTTGATTGGAAACGGCCCGAGAAAACTGATATAGGACATCTAGTTTTGGAGTTTGAAGAAGTGTTGGACAGAAAATTAACAAAGAAAAACTGCACCAGAGGCAATTTTGTCATTTGTCGGGACGGTGTTGGAATGGGTTGAAATTTGGCAGGTTGATTGGAAACGGCCCGAGAAAACTGATATGGGACAACTAGGTTTGAAGAAGGGTTGGACAGAAAATTAACCAAGAAAAACTTCTCCGGGGGCAATTTTGTTATTTGACGCGACGGTGTAAAAGTGGGTTGAAATTTAGCAGGTTTATTGGAAACGGCCCAAGAAAACCGATATTGGACAACTAGCTTTGGAGTTTGAAGAAGTGTTGGACAGAAAATTAACAAACAAAAACCGCACCAGGGACAATTTTGTCATTTATCTCGACGGTGTCGGAATAGGCTGAAATTTGGCAGGTTGATTGGAAACGGCCCGAGAAAACTGATACAGCACAACTAGCCTTGAAGTTTGATGAAGTGTTGGACAAAAAATTAACAAAGAAAAATCGCACCAGGGGCAATTTTGTCATTTGTCGCGACAATGTCAGAATGGGCTAAAATTTAACAGGTTGATTGGAAACGGCCCGAGAAAACTGATATAGGACAGTAGCTTTGGAGTTTGAGAAAGTGTTGGACAGAAAATTAACAAAGAAAAATCGCACCAGGGGCAATTTTGTCATTTGTCGTTACGATGTCGGGATGGGCTGAAATTCGGAAGGTTGATTGGAAACGGCCCGAGAAAACTTATATAGGACAACTAGGTTTCAAGAAGTGTTGGACAGAAAATTTGCAGGCAATTTCGTCATTTGACGCGACAGTGTCGAAATGGGCTGAAATTTAGCAGGTTGATTGGAAACGGCCCAAGAAAACTGATATTGTACAACTAGCTTTGGAGTTTGAAGAAGTGTTGGACAGAGAATTAACAAAGAAAAACTGTACCAGGGGCAATTTTGTCATTTATCGCGACGGTGTCGGAATGGACTGAATTTTTGCAGGTTGATTGGAAACGGCCCGAGAAAACTGATATAGGCCAACTAGTTTTGAAGTTTGATAAGTGTTGGACAGAAAATTAATAAAGAAAAATCACACCAGGGGCAACTTTGTCATTTGTCGCGACGGTGTTGAAATGGGATGAAATTTGACAGGTTGATTGGCAACGACTCGAGAAAACTGCTATAGGACAACTAGCTTTGGAGTCTGAAGAAGTGTTGGACAAAAAATTAACAAAGAAAAACCGCACCGTGGCCGATTTGGTCATTTGCGGCGATGATGTCGGAATGGGCTGAAAATTGGCAGGTTGATTGGAGACGGCCTAAGAAAACTGATATAGGACAACTAGCTTTGGAGTTTGAAGAAGTGTTAAATAGAAAATTAACAAAGAAAAATCGCACCAGGGGCAATTTTGTTATTTGTCGCGACGGTGTCGTAATGGGCTGAAATTTGGCAGGTTGATTGGAAACGGCCTGAGAAAATTGATGTAGGACAACTAGCTTTGAAGTTTGTTGAAGTGTTGGACAGAAAATTATCAAAGAAAAATCGCACCAGTGGCAATTTTGTCATTCGTCGCGACGGTGTCGGAATGAGATGAAATTTGACAGGTTAATTGGAAACGGCTCGAGAAAACTGATGTTGGACAACTAGCTTTGGAGTTTGAAAAAGTGTTGGACAAAAAAGTAACAAAGAAAAACCGCACCATGGCCAATTTTGTCATTTGTCGCGACGGTGTCGGAATGGGATGAAATTTGGCAGGTTGATTAGAAACGGCTCAAGAAAACTGATGTAGGACAACTAGCTTTTCCATCACCCGAAATCTATAAATATGAGAAGATAGAAAACCTTCGCGACGGTGTCGGAATGGGATGAAATTTGGCAGGTTGATTAGAAACGGCTCAAGAAAACTGATGTAGGACAACTAGCTTTTCAAGATTATCAATTTCTTACTTTTGATTATCAATTTCAAGTCTCGAATCTTCAAAATTTTAATGTTAATTGCCTTCAAAGCATTACTAGATTTGTTCTTCACATAAAATTATGATAGCTTTTGAAATTGAAGGCTTTGAATAAGTTAAATCACATTCAAAATTGCTTTTCAAGATTGCACCAAACTAGAAAAGGAAATAGAGTTTTTCACTTGAAAATATACCATGCGATCGCACGGTAGGCCTGATTTGCTCTAGGGTTCTATACATTAGATCCATGCGACAACATGGGTATCTTCTCGACAATTGCCTGGTCTTCTTCTTTCCTAATGTACGTTTTGGTCTATATTCTTTGGACTTTGGCTTGCATAAGTCCTATGCCAAATCATGTTCACTTGATCCTCAATCTCTGAATTATGTATGGAATCTATCCTTTTCGCTCAATTTCCTATTTTTCAAAATTACTTCCAACATTGAATTTAAACAAACAATATTTATACAATATTAAACTATAATTCCTTTAAAGTACTCCCGTCCATATTTTTTGAATTCACACATAGATATGGTTGTTTGACTTAATTGAATAGGATTGATTTGAAATTGAGAGACATAAATTAATTAATTTAGAAGAATTCAATCAGAAATGCATAATCAATTGTTGGTGATTGAGATTAAGGGAATAATTACGGTAAAATTTTGAATCTAACTTTAACCATCATATAAAAGATCTAATTTAATTTTTTTTTTTTTTTTTTAGATACATAACATTTAGGATAAAAGAAAAATTAAAACTACATTTTATTTGCAGTCAAATTGAAATTAGGAATACTTGTATCAACGCTTAGATGGTAGTTCTCGTGGAAATGATAATTTGAACCTTTTATGATACGTACACTTACGAATATAAAATCGACAACAACCACATAAAAGTATGGTTAAAAATGAGATTAGAATATACGAATAAAATTTTTTGCAGATTATTTATGAGTAGTGCTATTTAGCATTACTGGTCTTAAAATACCAATCTATGTAACACTAATGTGACATTAAATGAGAAGTATAATTAAATGAATTACTTAATTTTACCTTTCATTGAGTCTATCACTTAGAGTCATCGCACCATCTAGACTGGTGTTGTAGTACTAGTGGTGTTAAATAACATTATTCATTATTTATAAACTGTGGTCTATTTAAATTTTAAGGATGTACAAATCCTCTCGTGATCTACATGTGAAGATATTGAGATATAAAGACATACTTTATTATGGCAGGAAGCTATAGCTTTCGGGATAAATGAAGATTAAAAGTTAAAGCAATCATATAGTTTTGGTACTAAAACAAGATGCGAAGAAGGAAAGGCAATTTATTAGCATGGTTAAAATCAATTATAAACAACTCACCTCCTTCATAATCTCATCAATTATTATTATTTTTATTTTTTTTAAAAGTTGCTATTTTCCAAAATGTTTGCATTAGGTAGATTTGGAAAAAATACAATAGATCAATCAGTCTTAACTAAATGAAGGGCTGCAACAGTTAGAACCTAGAGGTTTTGATGAGGATCGATTTTAGGGAATTCAAGATTCTTAAAGGAAGTGAATCCTCCATCGACAACAAGGTTGTGACCAGTCACAAACTTAGCTTCATCGGAGGCTAAATACAAGGAAGCCCGAGCCACGTCTATGTCTTCACATTTTGCTCCCTTTAGGACTCCCAACTTGTTCACTATCTCTATTATCTCATCTCGTGTTGCATTAGGGAAAAACTGAGCAAATTGCTCAACCACAAGTGGCGTTGGAATAGGACTTGGTGAAATGCAGTTAATTCGAACTCCATGTCCACATAGCTCACTTGCCACGGACTTCACCATTCCTGGTATTGCAAATTTTGATATAGTATAAGGATGAGGGCCAAGCCCACCCATGACCCCACTAACACTAGCCGTGCAAAGGATTGAGCCCGAGCACGCAGGAATCATCACTCGGGCTGCATGTTTTATACCCGCAATCATGCCCCGAACATTTATTCTCATGACACGATCAAACTCATCAAGGTCGAGATCAGCAACGCTGGGTGGAAATGGAGAGCCTGAAATGCCAGCATTGTTGCACATTATGTCCAGTTTCCCATAGCGGGCCACAGTTATATTAACTGCTTCTGCTATATGGTCCTCACTTGTAACATCACATTGTACAAAGTGAGCAGCAGGTCCCAAGTTTTGGGAGATTTGTGGGCCAAGTTTTGCATTGGTATCAGCAATAACAACTTTAGCACCGTGTTTAACGAACTCGGCAGCAGTCGCTTTTCCAAGCCCGCTCGCACCTCCTGTTATGAGGGCTACCTTGTCTTCAAGCCTGGAATTATTAGATGGTATGAGAAATTTGATTGAAAAAAGAAATTTATTTGTTTATAATGTGAATATATTAGATGACAAGTGGACAAAAATGAGTATGTATACAATGCTCACTTGACTCAACTCTTTAAATGATGCATTCATATTTACACTCATTCTCAAGATCACGTTTTGAATTTGAAACTTAAAAGTTTAAAAGTTAACTTAGAATTATTACTTTTAACGATATATGAGGCATTGTATCTCAAGAGATTATGTGACTACAATTGGTCCATGAAGTCCATAACTTACCTTATAAATGGAAATGAGACAAAGATCACCAACTATTAAAATTCACTAACGGTATCTCATAAGAGATATGAAGTAAAACAGTACCATTAAAAAGCGTTTGCACTACTAAGAAATGACAAACAGAAAAGGTCCAAAATTGCTATGTTTAGATAGAATCTAAATATCAAGAATTCAGCGGGGGAAAAAAAAACTTACAAGAGTTCTTCTTTTGCGTGAAATATAGAGAGCACTTTCAAATAATTTAATCAACTCAACAAACAAACATAAAAATTTACATCTTAATGACGTTATCATTGATTTCTTGCTAAAATTTTTACAAGGGAGCACCAAGCGTTATGTTGCAAATAAATCTAGTAGGCTTCCTAGATGTAATAATAAACGAAAGCATGCGCAACAAGAATAATCGAGAGGACCCTCCATAAGAGAATTTAATGTTATATATAATTATGTGTGTGCCTTAAGAAGAGATAGGGTGGGCCGTGGGGGAATTAAGAATTTGGAAGTGCACCAAAAAGAATGAGTCGTTAACTCGTTGCCACTCGTTATGCATCACAAATTAAAATAATTGTAGTTGACATTGCATTGTCTTTTTTATTTAAGACTGGAATTTAATCTTGAAGACAGCAGGAAAAGATAAGGACAAGCAGAATAGTTTAGGCCAAATATATATATAAAAATATATTTATGTCTGTTTCTTCAAACCTATTTAAAGTGTTGTTCACATGTAAACTAATAAACATTTCTTCAAACCAAATTAATATGTTGGCCCTCCCCCACTTAAATCTTGACGAGTCATTCTGTGATCTCTTACTAACAAATAGCGAGATGCGATTTCAAATATGATAGTCACTTATATTAAATTGGGTGTCCTCTTGCCATTTGATAGTAATTAAGAGTTGATGTAACCATGTATCAAGAATTAATTGGAGTGTTCGCAGCTCTCAACACAAATAACATACCCTAATAATGCTACTTGACATTATTTACATACAATGTTTTCTGTAGCCAGCTTACAAACAACTTTTACCATGCAGTCTCATCAATATTCTACATTTTTCAGCAGGCACAGTCAAACAAATGCTTGAGAATGCATAGATTGTCTCTCCTCTCTCTCTCTCTCTCTCTGCATTTTTTATTTTTATTTTTATTTTTTTGTTTTCTCCTGTATCTGGGCCATAAACGTTGTAAGCCCAAGTTCAATATTTTTTTATGTATATTATATAGCAAAAAGTCAACGAAGTGCATAATTAAAAACAGAAAAGTCGGCATCAATCCCTTAAATTAGAGCAGAAAACAAGGAACGTCATTGCCTGATGGACAACTCAGCTCAGGCCCAGTTCATGTTAATGAATCGTCAACAACACTGCAGAGTTTCAAAATTTAAACTGAAAACATACAATTAATGCAAACCAATCCAATGCAGTCTCTTAAATTTCAATTTCACCCACAAAGATAACCACAATACAAAGAAAAAGAAGAATTGAGTAGCCGAATTGTGAAAATTTCAATACTTAGTTTCCTCAATTATCCAGCTTTATGATTCTGGCCTAATTTCATTAGTACTTAGTAGAAATCAAGTGTTGAAATGATATTTGACGTGAAAAAAATTAAGTGGAAGACCCCTGATTAATTACCTTGCTATACCGATTGTACAATCTGTTGAAGAATATAGTCTCGAAGCAATTCTCCCGAACAAACCATCAGCTATCAGCTTGGGCTTCCTAATAAAAATCAAAAGTATAATTAAAAACAGTAGCGACAAATGCAAAGAAGAAACAAAAAATTAAATGAATACCTGGACCGCAATAATCTAAGCATATTGCCGGAATTTGGCAGTGAAATTTGAGAAACTCGACGAGATTTGACAGAGACCTCGATCGGAGTAGAGATATCTGGGAGTTTTGGAAGAAGTAGAATTAGGAGAGTTCTGAGGAGTTGTATTTAACGCGCATCTTCATGCAAAACAAACACCACTTTGCTATGCCGACCACCTTCTGTGGCATGACTTGTATGACCCCACCTTATTATTAACGGACAAAACGGAACGATCCCGAAACGGAACGGGGTCCAGCTGTTGTGTAACGTGACCCACTTACATGTTAGTTTTTCTGACTAGTCAATTTTTTCCTGAATTTGGACAGTACGAAATTTATTTTAAACCACTGCAATTTTATTAAGGGTAAATATAAATATATCCAAACCACAATATTTGTTAACTAGACACTACATTTTTATTACAACACATATCCCTATATTTTCTTATTTCATACATATGTTCTCAATTTTTTAGGGAAAAAAAATTTATCAACCATGATTTTCGTCCAAAATGTATAGTATGAGAGCAAAAAGACATATTTCTCTCTCGCATTTTTAAATAATTGAAATAAATAACTATTATAAAAGGTAAACAAAATATTTGTTCATCTTTTCAATGCACACTAGTAGAATATTTGGATGAAAACTGTGATGAAAGACAAAAATATGCTAATTAATTGAAGGTTAAGAATGACAATTCGACACGAAAAAAGTTGAGGATATAAAAGTAAAAGTGAGCAAATATTTTAAACTTTCATTGTAAATAAAATATGGTGTAGCTATAAAAAAAAATGTTGTGGGGGATAAAATTATTATTATTATCATTATTATTGTGAAAAGAGAGAGGAGTGGAAGAGCGCCCTCTCTTTTCTTTGGGAAATCGAGTTAGCTAGACTGGTTCTCTGGAAAAAGAAGAAAATAAAGAGAAGTCAATAGATTTGTGTATGTTTTATTAAGAACCAAAAACATAATATTTATAGGTCAAAATCAGAGATACAACGGTAATAATTTCTAAAGCTACAGGGTTACAATTGTCATTCACTTGTAAACCCTAATAAATTTATCATTTACAACACTCCCCCTTGAATAATACATTACAGAATATCTGCCCCGTTAAAATCTTGTTTGATAAAAATCCAATGGAACAAAAAAAATCAAATGAAAGAAAAAGAGAAAATAGTACAGTTATTTTGAAATATTAAAAATAAATGATGTCTCATTAAAAACTTGTTAGGAAAATTCAGTAGAATAAAACCTAAGCGAAGGAAAAAGAGTACAATTACTCCCCCTAATGTTGATCCCAATTTCCAAAAAAATCCCAATTGTGTCGAAGTTTCCATTTTTGGAATGGAATAGGATCAAGATTAAACCTTATCCCATGGTATTTATATGAGGTTCCTATTTAAGAAAGTCCCCGAGGGGTCTTGGTTGATCCAAGATTAGTAAAAGGCAATCACTGAAATTTCATCCTTGTAGGATCGTCAATATTGTACTAAGGGCGTCTTTAGAGTACATTGAATCAGTATAACTATCATTCTTCTAACACAGCAATGCAATTTGAATTAGTATCGAATCAAAAAGGAAGTGCTAAATAATTTAGGACCCACTAACCACCACATTGGATTCTCTCGCAGATTACATCACGAAGCACGTCAAGATAGGGCTTGCATCCTAGAGCTTTCACTACCGAAAGATCTTGTGAAGTGGCCACATTGTCACTTGAGCAAATTTGTTGGACATTGATGTCGCCATTCTTTTAAAACTCATGTTGTGAAAGAATTTTAAAGAAATATGTTTCATCCTGTCACTTTGATATGATCTTATTTGAGATTGCAATAATTTCATAACGATTTGAGGATGCTATTATGAATAATTGCTTAACAGATCTTCATGCTATAGCTATTCCTCCATGTGTAAATACATATCACATTTGTGATTTAGCTATATGTGGTTTAGAGAGATAATAAGCATCTACATATCCTATTAAAGTAGATCCCGACATTTGAGAATAAAATAATCCCAAATTAGTAGTACCCTTCAGGTAACAAAAAATATTTTTAATATCATTCCAATGTTTTTGAGTTGATGTAGAGCTATATCTTGTAAGGAGATATATCGAAAAATCTATTTCAGGTCGAGTGCAATTTGCAAAATAGGTTAATGCTCTAATTGCACTAAGATATAGTACTTCAGGACCAAAAATCATCTCCCAAACTTCAAGTGGACGAAATTGATTCTTTTTCACATCAAGTGATTGGACATACATAGGTGATGCCAATGGATGTGCATTGTTCATATAAAAACATTTTAAACTTTTTTCTATATATATAGTTTGATGAACAAATAATCCTTCTGAGAAATGTTCAATCTGCAATCCAAGATAAAATTTGATTGCAAATTCAATATTTGTTTTCTTTATGAAAATATATGGGCAGATATCGTCATTTTTATAAACATCTTTCAATAAATATTTGCTAAGATGATTGTACTACATGTGTTCGGATTATTTTAATTCATATAATGATATTTGCAATTTAATTGAGAACACGGTTCTCGGACATGTATTATTTGCTCTTGATATTTTAAGTCTTAAGAGACTTTCATATAAATGTTACTATCAAATGAACCGTATAAATAGGCTGTTACTACATCTATAAGGCGCATATCAAGATTTTGTGATACTATCAAACTAATTAAGAATATAAAAGTAATGATATCCATTATGGGAGAATATGTTTCCTCAAAATCAATTCCTAGTTCTTGTGAGAAATTTTGAGCTTCGAGTTGGGCTTCGTATCTTGTAATTTCATTATTTTCATCTCTCTTTCGTACAAAAATCCATTTGTATCTAGTAAGGATTACATTTTCAGGTGTTCGAATTACTGGTCCAAGCACTTTTCGTTTCTCTGAAAAATTCAATTTCGCTTGTATGATTTCTTTCCATTTTAGCCAATCATTTCTATTTCCACAGTCTTTAATTGACTGTGGTTTATGATCCTCATCTTGCATAATATCATGAGCCACATTAAAGGCGAAAATGTTGTCTATAACAACATTATTTCATTCCCATAATTTATGAGATAACATATAATTTATTAAAATCTCATTACTTTTGAATACTTGTGATTTTTCAGGAATCGTATTTTCAATATTTGATGGATCAACTTTTTCTAATGTTACTTCTTCCGAAAATTTTGGTTGGTTTTTCTCTTGTATTTTTCTTTTTCCAGCTACAGAGTCTTTGGAACCAATTGGTTGACCATGCTTCTAACGTATTTGAGATTCATTTGCTACAACAGATTGTCCTTTGGGGACAGCAATTTTTATTGGAATATTTTTCTGCTAGTATATATGACTGTTACTTTTCTTTTATCAACAAAATATATCTGATAATTGATTTACAACATTTTTCAAATGAATGATTTTTTCAAACTATTGTTCACATTGATTACTGCGGGGATCAAAATGAGATAGAGTTTTTTCATTCCAAGAAAATTTACTTTGTTTTTCAGAATGTAATTTTTCTCTTCCCAAAGTTGAGAAAGTCATTTAATCAAGATGAGCAACAAGTACAGTAAATAAATCACCCTTTAAAAGTTCAAGATATTTATAATAGATGGTGAATCAAAATCCACATAAATCTCAAATCTTCGTTATGGATCCATTTTAGTACGTTGTGGGGGGTGAAATAGGGACTTGAGATATATAATAAAAAACTCGTAGGTGAGAAATATCATGTTCATAACCAAATACAAGTTTCAAAGGTGAATTTTGATAATAGGCAGTTGGTTTAATACGAACCAATAATATAGTATGTAATATGGCATGACAGAAGTTGAGAGTTTTGTTTTCATAAGTAATGGTCTAGCAATCAATTGTAGACGTTAAATAAACGACTCCGCTAAACCATTTTGTGTATGGACATGCGTAACTAAATCTTCAATTACTAATCATTGAATGCTTGTAATCTAAATTCACCAACATGGTCAAGACAAATATTGTTAATTGAGTAATCAAAAAATTGCACGTAATTCTATGATTTGAGCAAGTAGTCTATCAAATGCTACATTCCTAGTGAAAAGTAAACAAACATGTAACCATCTAGTAAAAGAATCAATTAATACAATAAAATAATGAAATGATCAATATAGTGGGTATATTGGCCCACATATATCTCCACAAATCTTTTCAAGAAAGTTGAAAATTTAATATTGACTTTTGTTGTCAAAGGTCAATGGCTAACTTGCCTTTTGAACAAGTTATACATGAATAATCTTTAGATAAAAGAATCCTCATGTTCTTTAAAGGATGTTCATATAAGTTGTTTATTATTCGACGCAATATTATAGTTCTTGGATGTTCAAGTTGATCATACCAATGCATAAAACTTTTTGGGTTAACGAGCTTATGATTCGTGACAATATTTGAGTCAACTATTCTTATAAATGTATAATACATGTCCGATAAGAGTGCATGAAATTTTTTTATCTGCTTCTGACCAGATACAAAAGAAGTTTGTAAAGATATTTAGCATTATTTTCTTGTATCATCTCAATATGATATCCATTGTAGCGGATATCTTTAATACCAAGAAAATTTCTTCTAGATTTGCTGGAATAAAGTGCATTATCAATATATAATTTTGTATTATTTGGTAAAAGAATACATCTACTAGAGTCTTCAACGATATTTGATGCACCTGATATCATATTAACATTATTTTCTACTAATATTAAGTCAAAAAAATATTTTTTGTCTTGAAGAATGATATGTGTAGTTACATTATCAATCAAACATATATTATGACAATCCATCACGAATCTATAAATATAACAAAATGGATATATTTAAAAAACTTGAATTTAAATTTAAAAGGGTAAACATAATTCAATACTGTGAAATTAACAAAATATAATGAAGTTTCAAATTTTGCAAAAATTAAAAACATATTTCAAACTAAATTTCCAAAATAAGGGAAAATATATTAAAGACATAGAAATGAGCTAATCTATATCTTTACACCACCTGCAATCTAATGATCAATATTTTCATTTGAATCAGTAAAGAAATCGGAGACATCCAAATGGGTCACATCAATCGGGTTATCATAATCAGCAAAATTTGTCTCCACCACTTTTCCATTTTCCTTGATTGATTTTTGATAAAAATCTACGAGTTGTTTCCCCATAAGACAAGTACATGTCCAATCCCTTTCATTCCAAATTTAAAAGCAACTTTCTTTGGTTCCTTTTTGGATATGCTACTTTCATTTGCTTTGTGCCTTTTAAAATTGTTACCTTGTTGCTAATAGCTTGTTGATTATTTCATTCATAGTTTATTCTACGTGCATGTCCGCATCTACGGCAAAATCCAAGTCCATGTCCGTGTCCTCGTCCTAATATTGCATTTGCTTCAATCAATAATGTAGTACTGTTTGCTTTAGGTAATGGTACAGAACCAGTTAAACGTAACCCATAATTTTTCATCAACAGTTTATTAGTTTGTTCAGCAACAAGCAAGAAAGATATAAGTTCTAAGTACCTTTTGAAACTACGCTCATGATATTGCTGTTGTAGGAAATGTGTGAAAGGTGGGATCCTAAACAACTCAGAATTGTACTCACTAACATTTTTGAAATCTTGAAAATGAAGGTGCATCCAATCATAGCGGGTTTTGGAGAGGACTATTGTCCTCTAATGATCAAATCTTTTAGTTAGTTTTTTCCAAAGAATCTATAGATCTTTCTTAGTGAAATGTTCAATTTTCAATCCATCGTGAAGATGATGACGAGGAAAATAAGTACTTTTGTACGGTCCTGCAGGGATTCCTTGTTTCCTTCTTTTGTCGTCTTTCCCAAACCTTTTGAGATAAGATAGATATCAACTTTGAGTACCTATGAAAGATAATTTTGTTAGATATGTCAAGTGCAGCAAACTCGAGTTATGTGATGTTTGTCATTTGATTAACTATACAATAAAATAAAAGAAAATACAATTAATTTCAAAGAAAAAAAGAATAAAAGTTAATATCCACATGACATAAGTTATGTGCTTTCCTTCAAGGATAAACACTAAAATAATATGTTTTTCGAAAAATATGTTACTTTGGAAGCAAGTTGTATTTTACTATTATTTTTTCAAGAGCAATATGTCAATATTTTTTCTAAAATATTGAAAATTATAATTTATGCTCTTCAGGAGCAAGTAATATTCTTTATGAATATTAATTATAATGTTGTGTTATTTCAGAAACAACAACAAACTATTTATAATAAATAGATCTACGATTAATATTTTTTTGGAATATTGATTATAATGTTGTACTATTTCAGGAACAACATGATAAATTACCATAATAGAACATCTAAAAATATTTAATCAGGTTAAGGATAAAAAAAAATCAATAATCATCATAAACTTATATTTTACAACCATAAAAAAAATGTAAAGCCGAATTAAAGTATGAATTAATAAATACAATGTTATAAAGCAAAGAATATTTAATAATTTATGTATTAAAGCAAAGAGTATCTAACTATTTCTATCGCAAATTATCAAAAAATTCATATAATAATAGTACTAATGATGGCTCCAATTGACTCAAATTCAAAAATTGACTTATTGTTACTATGCAAATTGTGGTAGGAATGTGTTTAATAATCTATATGGCTAAGGCAGAAAAATATGCACGTGTTATGTGTATATGCATATTAAAAAAAATTCACATGTTACCAAATTAATTTTGATACACGTGATAAAAAAATTTACTACTTTCCCAAAACTTTGAAGAATTATGTTTTTCGTGCTATTAATGTATTGTGAGAAGAGAAAAGAAAGAAAATAAAGAGAAGTCAATAGACTTGTGTGTATTTTATTAAGAACCAAAACTCTATATTTATAAGTTAGAATCAAAGATACAACAATAATAATTTCTAAGACTGCAGGAGTACAATTGTTATTCACTTGTAAACCCTGATAAACTTACCATTTACAACACATTTTATTAATTGTACCACAATGTTTTGTATTTTTTAATTAATTAGTCTTAAGTAAAACTCTATAATTAGAGTTTAATACACATTTTAATAAGATAAGTTACTGTCCCACCACAAACATAAACCTAATTTTTTCTTTCTCTTTCCTTAACATCTGATTGTCCATAGCTTTTCTGTTGACGATGGCTTTTGTTTTCTTTCACGACGGCAAGATAATTTTCGTTTACTATCCAATGCTTCCACTTTGTAGGCCTTTTTCATTTTCCTTAGACTGATAAAAGCCTGCACCATCAATTTGAAGCATGATTTCACTACTAGGCTAAGATGACTAGTTTTATGTTAACATATTCAGGTTCCTTCATTTTCTTGAAGAAAACCTAGGAAATAGGGCCTTGATCAACTTTTGAAGCTGATCCAATATTAAAAAGGTTTGTTCATGGCACGGTTTTAATTTGAACTGGGATTTGCATAGGTATCGTTGGAGAGGAACCAAGGGCGGATTCGAGAATTTTTGGCACACGGGCTAAAATTTAAAAGTTGACATAGTAAATTCATATATGAATTAAAGTCAAATTCATTTAACTTGAAGTTGTTCCCAACGAGGTTTTGAAACAGAATATTCATCTATAACAGAATCTATATCTATCTTTTGATCAAATTCTCGTTCGATAGAGAGTGTCATACATTTAGAAAGAAAGTCATCCTCCATTCTGTTACGAAGATCTGTCTTCACGTATTTCATTACCGAAAATTCTCGATCAGTAGTCGTCGTAGAAACAAGTAAAGTTAGTACAAGACAATTCAATCGAGTAACCATAATATAAGACTCAGACTTGCCACTCTCAGTTAACTATCTACATAACTGAACAAGTGTAGATAATTGAAATTGAGATTCCTTCTTCATATCTAGCTCAAAATGTAGCAAATCATAATCCAAAGAACAAATATCTTGCTTTGAAAAATCTCCAGGATAGAATTTTTCAACAAGTGTACAAATATCATGAATGCTAAATGATTCAAGCGATTTTTTAGGATCCAAAGCTGCACTGTGTGTGAGAAGTTCAGTTGATATATCATTAAATCTTGTATTTAATTCCATCATTATGAAGTCGATTGTTTCATTGAAAACATTAAAGTGATGATAACGCTCTATTGTAATTTGATCATGAGAACGATAAGGACCAATCTTGTAGAAACTTTCTAGGTCAGGTATCTCAATATCATGTTTTGAGCAAAAAATTTTCACTTCCTGAAGAAATTCTTCCCAATCATCGTCTCTCATTTTTTAAGGAGTTTTGTTATAGTAAAAAAAATCTCATAACAGCCAAGATGTCTAAAGATTTCCTTTGTAGGGTCTAACAAAGAGTATTAGTTAATCTCATGATATTATGCATTAAATGCAAACTGAACACAAAATTAGAACTTTTCATATGTTTGTAAGTGCCGCGAACTTCAACCCGAGATCTTCCATTTGGACAATGAACATTGAGATTTTCAAACACCTTCACTACAACAAAAAGGACTGCACTCCGTAAAAACACCTTTACGGCATGTGGCCGTATGCCGTATAAAGTAATGCCATAAAAAGTGTCCGGTGTGCAACGTAAGCCGTTTATAAACGCCGTTATTAGTTATACGATTTTTTACAGCATGTAGGTGCAAGCCGTAAATGTGAATTTTTACTTTTACAGCGTGCAGTCAAAGGTGACCCTGTTAGCATTTATGGCATGCTCTTGCACACCGTAAATGTTAATTTATTTTTTTTAAAATCTGCTTATTTATTTTATTACCAGCACCTATAATAATTGCACAAATCCAATTCCAACTCAACAAGATGAAAATTAAAATATTTTGAGTACAAGCTAGCATGATAAACAACATTAAACTAATTAATTATTCTAAGCTTAGATGAAAAAACTAACCCAAACATTTATCATATACTAGTGAGACACATGTGCAAGGCACATGCTATAGTATATTTGACTATGTAATAGCATAGAATGTTCAAGGCACAAAAATGATATATTCAAAACCATAAATTATGTTCCAACTAAAAAAGAACTTCCTCAAGTAAAGTGTTTGAAGAAAGAAAAATTGATAACTTACATTCATTGCTAGAATTCTAATTTCCATTCGAAAATAATTTATTTGTTTTGACTCTAGTAACGATCATACAACACAACAAAAAATGAATGAACTTTTGTACATTGAACTTCTTGCATTGTTGACATAATTAACATAAATAACAGAACCAAAAAAAATATCAATTTACTTGTTCACGATTGCATTAAAATTTTGAACCAGTATACCAATAGCATTGAAAGTCATCCCATATACATAAAACCAAAAGTTCTGCACATCTCTTAATTGTAGACTAAGACAAATTCCAAAATAATATTCTAAAGAGCGCACACAAATACTTTCAACTAAAAAAAAAAAAAAAAAAAAAAAACCTTGCATGGAACATCTATGCCTTGTAGATAATACTTCATGACTATATCTTTCAAATAAATCCAAAAGAAGCAGAAGAATGTAAAAAAGAAAAAATATAATCTGCATATGGGTTTGAGAAGCTCAAATGAATCACGAGAATGATTAATGGACCACGTGACTTAAATGTAAAAAAGGATATTCTAATATAAAATTAAATGACAAAAGTTAGCAGAAATAGAAACTATATTACCAAATACATCAAATTATATAATGTAAATGCAGAAATCGAGATTTCTATCATAATCTTCAATTTTTAGCTATCCAGGACTTCAAACACATGATTGTCCTGCATAGAAGAATAAATAAAAAGAAGGAAATCTGAATTTCATAATAGTAGATAATTAATTAGCAACTTCTTGTGTGATGAAAATGTCAAGAAAAAAAAGATGCATTAAGATTCACTTGTAGATCAAATAAACTTTTTAAATACTTGTTAATAATTAAAAATTACAGTTATTTGTTCTAAATTAGAATTGAATTATTTTGGAATAAGATTCCGTGTGGTGAACTTATGTGTAAAAGGTGGCTGGTTTAGAGAAAGCAATTCAGCAGTTTCTCTTCAAATCATGTACCACACTTGTTAAGGATAATCCTTCATATTAGGCTAGCTGGAAGGTCACGATCCCTTTAAAATCCACACCTCAATTGAACAACAATTCTTCATAGTACAGAGAAAGTGAAGGAAGACAATAATCCAATAAGTTAAAGAAAGAAAATCCAAGATGCTTGAAGGAGTCCAACAATATTTAACTTTGTTTGCATATTTTGTACACTTCACCCACTCTAAATGATCCTATACTTAGTGCATAAACCTACAAGCTTTGCTCTTCAGAACACTATAAACCAGATGAAGGCTTCAAGTATGGCAGATCCTACATTTATTTGGAATAAGTCTTCATTTGTTGGAGTCCAGAAATAAGTAAAAAACATCTTGTTCAAAAGCTTAAAAAAAGAGGATGATAAAAGAAAGAGAAAAAATCCACTAATTCTACCATAATTCAAAGTTAGGAATCAAAGCAGATATTATCCTATGCTTTTAACATCATTTGGCTAAGCGCGGATTCGCATCGTCAAAAAGATCATATTTATTGCATTGCAAACAATCCAATATATAAATAAGAAAAAAAAAATCTACCTTACATGTCTATAAAAACTCAAATAAAATGCACCCATTAAAAGAAAGCTGGGAAACAACTAATATATAAAAGAAAAATCCTTATATTGCTATTGCTTGACCTTGTGGATCCGTACAGTTATTCAAGGGAAATTTGAGCAGCAAAGCAAGATTCTCAATTTTCACCAAGCTCTCCTTCTGGAAGCTATTTGTTGGCCAGAAAAAAAAAGAAAAAGAAAGAGCAATCCAAAAAGGTATCATGGGTGATGGAGTCAGCCACAAACTATACAACACTTTTCCGCTTATTGGCTAGTTAAGATATAATGCCAATTTTTTCCAAGTTAAAAGTAATTAGAAAACCCAACCTATTGATGTGAATTTGTTGAAAATTGGAGCAATCAAAATTGGGTAAATGATTAATCTCTTTCTTTCTATCAATAATTGTTGAAGTGATTATTCCCCATCTATAAATGTTGATATCATTAATGAGAAAGAAATCAAAATATAAATCTTAATTCAAAATGTAGCAAAAAAACATGTTGATATTCCTAACTCCCTCTCGTCCCGTAAGAACTACCATTTTCCTCAATTGTACGAGGAATATCATATATGAGGTGTCAAATGAAGTTTGTTACTATAACTCTTGTCAATTGCTGAACTTGAGAATTTGTGGCGTATTTTTTTTATAACATCACTAACTGTAAATGAGAAAATAAGGATAGGAGCACACCTAATAGCACTCTTACTCAAGATAATTTCCCTACTTCTGAGAATTGATGTTGTTGAGAAAATCTGACATGGATAGGTGACCATTTGCCAATTTCTGATCTTTTGATCTTAGACTACTTTTTTTGTAACTGGAGTCCCTGTACGGATCAATATAGGACTTGTGACGAATTATTTGTAGGGAAAAATTGGAGAATCAGAATAAATCAATCAAAACCGAAGGCCCGTGTTTACACGGTTTCCTTAAATCGAATTCGCCGCCTCACCGGGGTGCAAGAGGTGTTAATCGGTGTTCGATTCCCAGGATACAATCGGTTGACGGTTCATGCTGCACAATGTTACCGACCTACGAACTAGCTGTGTCTATCTCTCAAAGAACTTTAGCAAAGAAAAGAAAAGAAAAAAAAAACCCGGGCTGCTGGAAATGGAGGAGGAAACTGAACATTTTTTCTTTGTTGTGTTTTTTTTTTTTTTTTGGTTGTATTTCTAGCCGAGAGTGATCCTCTATTTATACCAATATAGGAGGAGCTTGCTCATAAATACATTGAATAGGGAGTTACAACATGGATGAATGAACAGGGTGAAACCGACATATTTCAAATGGGAAGAAACTGATGTTTTTATATGCATTCAACATGTATTCAAAATGATGAAACTGATAGCATTCAACATGCATTCAAATTGATGAAACTGATGTAGTGAACATTCAAAACGTAACTAACTTTTCATTCATCATTCAAAATATTCCAACAGTCCAAATTGATGAAACTGATGTAGTGAACATTCAAAACGTAACTAACTTTTCATTCATCATTCAAATATTCCAACAGTCCCCCACATGAATGAAAAATTTTGAAAATAGAGACTCAAGAGAGAAAGAGAGAGTAAAACGAATCAATCCTGCATAGGATAGGTAGCATTTAGCTTTGAACCTTCCCTCGTGAAAATCTATCGAGTATTACCAGCAAACCAGTGGATCTGATACCTTGAACTGTTTCGCCATTTGTGTAAATCAAGACAATA